AGTAAATGGGTATCTGCTTTCTACCGAAACATTTCCAATCCTAATAAGTTATTTTAAACTTAAAAATCATCAAAATAGTACATTTCAATTGTTTTCATAAGTTGGAAACAGTTGACTTTGATCAGCTGTTTTTCTTGCTGGCAAATTGCTGCTGGCAAAATTTTTTCCAGCCGAAACTAGCAGCTTCTCAACAAAATTAAATGTCCGTTTGGTCTCTCAATTTGCCCTACTTTGCTGGAGAGCGAACAGCGAAACTTATATCTGACAAATTCGCGAACAGTATCACACGGGGCAACACTCGATTAGTTTGACAGCACTTGCAAGTGGAATGACATTAAAGAATATACAAATTTACTCATGATACAAAAAATACAAGGTAGTTTCATTTAAAATTTTTTTGATAAAAAAGCGTATTATTGACATTCTCCCTGATGTCAACATTTAGCATAGCGTTGCCACATCGGAAATTCGTAGGAGAGGGTAATTTGAAATCATATATTGGATATTATTTATAAAATGGTGGATTTCATAAATGCTGAATGAAGAGGCTTATATGCCTCCACCAAAACTTAGTAATGAAAATGCTTTGTTTTAAAAATTAATTCAAATATTTTGTCTAAACTCATTGATAAGATATCGTTTAGGAAAAAGTTTAAGAAATGAAATACTTTTGTTGGAATTTCTCCATTTTGTATATTTCAAAATAAGTTTCAAGTTTTTTAGTTTTCGGAGTAATTTCTAACGCCGTGGCCCAGCGGAGTAGTTAGACGTTGCAAACGATATATCATCAAGGTTGTAGCGTGACGATTTAGCAGACTTGTTCGCTTACGGTTAAGAGTGGATTAACCTTTCCAGCTTTCCTTAGATTCAACTCGTATTCAGCACATTTCTTATTAAGAGTTTTAATTTCGTTTTCAAGCTCGTTTGTCAGGTAGTTAATATGGCGACGAAAAAGTGACAATGGAACCACCTTCTTTATTTTATCATGAATTTACCTAAGAAACTATGCTTAAGTATGGTGAAATTTTGTGTAAAGGAGAACCGCTACATAAGTTGAGTTCTCGTATTCTCCAGCAAAAATATCCAGTTACTTGCCAGTAACCAAATTTCGGAGAGTAAGCCCATATTTACTTCCAATGGAGAGAAATATTCAAGATTCAGTTGATTGAGTTCGAGTTTTATGTATTTTCGGGCACTCTAGCTTAACAAATAAAAATTACAACAGTTATAATTTAAAGGCCAATAAACCAAAACAAACATATTTTTAAATTAGTACAAAGTTTTAAACTTAGATTAATTTAGTTTTTGTTATAGATTCAAGTATATTTTTATAAAAAATATGAAATATAGATTTTAAAAAAAAACTAAAGAGTCGAAACATGTCAATATGTGAATGTCATATAGTTATGATAAGCACTTTAGTACTAAACTGACTATTTTTAGGGGAGTCGCATATTAAAAAGCTACTTCGCGTCTTTTTAGCGATGAAAGTGCCAATACTATAGCGAATTGAAAGCTATTTGAAAATAAATACACCATCCAACAAAACGCTTAAGGCAAAACAGACTGAAACCTAATTAAAAGCTTTTTTCATAATCTGACTTCTAGAGGGGAATGGGCATGGGGATTGATATACTAACCGATTTGGACGGGGTTGTGAGTGAAATGCAATGATTAATGCAAAATTTTCGGCTGTGTTGCTGTTGATAAAATTTCGCAATTTCGCTTTTCGCATCGGTGCAATGCATTTCGCATCAACACCTGAATATCCCTAATGTGCTTTTAAATCATGCACCTGGTCGAGCAGTGACAAATTATTCTATTAGACCGACTTTGACCTTGCTGGGAGGCGTATGGGAGGCAAAATTCTACAATTTGTAGACATTTAATGATCCAATAAAATAAAATAATAATTATATTGGTCAAGATGGAGTTAGAACTACATACATAGACGCATAGTAACGTCTGCGATAAAATGTGTGTGGAATTAAACATTAAAAATTTTGTTCCAGTTTGCTACTTCCTGCCGATTGGCGTCGCTTTAAGGCAAAATAAAAAAAATTTCCTAACATTTTGGATGTCTAATGGAATATAGTACATTGAGGTTAGTAAAATGTCAGTAATTATAGAAGTGAAAAAAATGTAAGACCTAAATAAATGTCGTAAACATCAACGCGTAGCGGTGTAGGGAAGTTTCTGATAAGAACCGTACCAAAAACGATAAATTAATGAGCATTTGTGTACTTGTGTGAATGTGTGAATGTGTGTAACCACGACTAATGCTTACAAACTTACTTAGAACGAAAGCGTGTTAAACGAGAAAAAAGTAATCAAACGAAAGTGAGAAACTGTGTACTGTTGTAGGCCACAATGGTGTTCACACAATATGGAACGTAATAAGAATGTTTTGGCAAAATATTTATATACTTCTTAACTGAACTCATTGATAGGGTCCCCGACATCTCCGAAGTAGAGATGCAGTTTTTCAAACCAATTAAATCGAAGATCGATTTATGGAGCCCCCCTTCCGACCCGATTTTTCGTCGATTTTTTAATTTCGATTCGATCCGCGTATCGATCCAAAAAAATACGAGTATCGACATTCGATTTTTTCTCAATAGCATTAGAAAATCTAGAAAATTTTAAGAAAACTTGAATTTAAGCCTGGTACAAAAAAATTAAGTTAGCCTTTTGAATATAGGGAAAAAACATTGATTTCGCTGATAAAATGCCACGAATATTAAAAATACACCAACTAAATAGTATTTTTTTGCTCGAAACTGGTTAGGCATTAGATCAATTTCAATTTATTTCAATTTATTTTGTTATCGTATCTGGCAAGATATATGAATCGATTGTAAGAGATCGGTTTATTTTTTGACGATTTCTTCATGCATCGATTATTTTCATTACGATTCGAATCGATTCAAAATTCGATTTCATTTATTTCGATCTGGCATCTCTACACCGAAGTCGACTAAGAAGTTTCACTTCAAACATTTTTTTTTTAAGTTCCATTCGTAATGTTTCTCATTCCTTATTTTATGCGGCAAATATATTTATTGTCAACTCCGAAATGATCCAGTTTATTTTTTCCAGATTCGCTATAGATATTGTATAATGTTAAAGTCTCGTGACTGGATAGTCCAATGCTGTGCCACTGTGCACGCCAGTCGTTTCTATTCTGTGCCAACTGACGTCCATTGGAAATGCCAAGTGAAGCCAAGTCCTCCTCCACAAGAAGCATTTTTCGCACGGTTCACACGCTATCATCTCCACTAACGCACCTCACCGTTTCTTAGCGGTAGATATTCTGTCTGACGCTATTAAACGCCTAATTTTTCGTTCCTCTCTCTCGGCCATTTTCATTGAAAACTACATGTTAGTAGTGCCTCGAATAATACGGCTTACAGTCGATTGGCTCACATGTGTTATTTTCGCTATTTCACTGCTTCAAAGCCCCGTCCAAGCTTTTTCAGTAATATTTTTTTTATATTTCAAAACGCTTCTCATGGTATTTTAATTTTTGATATAATTTTCTTTTGATTTATAGATTTTATTGCTTTTAAAATGAAACATTTTTTTTTAATTTCATTAAATTTTTGTAAACTGGCATCTATCTTTAAACTCACCTGAGTTTTTCGTCTCAGTCTTTATATTTCGACAACTATCTTGGAAGCTCTTTTCTGTATTTCGAATGACTAATTGAAAGATGTGCTAATAGTTTTATTATATTTATCGTTTAGTAATAAGTTTTCTAAAAATTAAACGAAATGAAAAAATATATATTTTTTTTTAACAGGAAAAATTAAAAATTTGAGATGCTGAAAGTAAAAGAAACAAGATGAATCAAACAAGTTTCCAAACGTTAAATAAAAAATATGATTTTTTTAAGCAATAAAACTTATAAAAAAATCGTATTCAAAAAATTCTTTGAGGAGGAGTGAACTCGGATCTCTTACTTAACTTTAATGTTCATTAAATACCGTTAACGAATCATTAACTGACTCTGAGAGCGAATTTTTCAAATCGTTACTGAGGGACACCTCAACAATACCTTTTATTGATATCCATATTGCGATGTCTTAGATAAATAGTGTAGAATCAAAAAGAAGTGGCAACCTTACACTATTATCCTAGGGGATAACATTTCGTATATAAATTGAGAAAGCATTGTTTAAGGACCTTCTCTTGATACCCATGAATAGTAATATTTCACCTATTTTTCTAAACAAAAAATTAAATAAATATGCGGAATATCCGAAATATTTACTGTGTTTACAATTTCGTCAAAATCGATAGAGCCGCTTTCGAGAACACTATGGATATATATGGATATATATATATATATAGCTCATTTAATATAATAAATAAATCCCGTCTTTTGAAAGATCATCTACAGAGAATATGGGTAGAAATGAGGACAAACAAGAAGAAACTTAAAGTACTTACAAAGCTGCAAACAAAAACAAGATGTGTCGACGTTGAATGTTAGCGTATTTAAAAACTATCAAATACGTATAAACATATGCACACATTACTTCGCCGCCATTGCAAACGTAATAGTGATAGCCCAGAGTACCTAGTCGCCTATGAAGCTTCGTCACTGGCATCACAATTTGAAATGTGAAAAGTAGATACAAAGAGAAAACTTGAAACTAAAAACTAAAAAGAAGAACGTGTTCTTAACACCATACAAGTGAAGCATTGACAGCGACTTAGTAAACGCCATTGCTAGGGGTGTGTTCAGAAATGCATCAAGCCAAAGCATAAGGTGCATTTATTTCTAAACTTTAATTGATGGAAAGAGGCTGTTGTTGCCTTGGCTTGATGCATTTCTGAACGCACACAAGGTTTTCATACGATTCCTCGGAAATGTTACCAACAATGCTGACGAAGTCATCGCATTTAATTTTAGCAATCAATTAGTTACCTGCAGTTGTTTAAAACCTTAAAGCGTTAAGAATATGACCAAATATTGCATCTACAAAGGCACTTACCTCTTTGTCTTTTAAGCCCAACAGCAACACTTCCTCCATGAGTGTTAGACGTGTCTGTTTGGAATCGCCATCATCGATGTTGTCCTCCTGATCTTTATTACTGTTACTTAAATCGCTGTCGTCATCTGGTGTATTAGCATTCTGGCCGTATGCGCCACCTTCAGCGCCATTGTCTCGTGTTTTCACGGCGCGTCGCACCAAACCATCACTTCGATTCATTTTTTATTAAATTGTTATTTATTGCACTCACTTACTGTGTGTTATGTTTAATTTAAAACTCTTTAATTAATCCTATTCTTATATTAATCTAATTCCGAGAAAAATACGCAATTTTTTTTTATTGCTATATCCGTAATTAATTGGTGAAGTGGCGCTCCGCTACGTTTTGCTTTACACCTTTTGTTTGTTGCTGTTTTTACACTGTGCCTTCGTTTGCTTTGCTGTTTCCGTGTCACTGAAGAGCTTAAATTCTTTGCTCTTTTTTTTTACATATTTTTTGCAGTATTATGCATTTATTTATTCAAACTGATAACTATTTTCGGAAACGATAGAAAAAATTAAATTTCACTAGTTTATTCACGATATTCCCCAGGCAATGGAGGAAAAAATATTTTTCTTGTAAATCTTTTCCTCCTCTATGCTGACATTTCGTTCCACGACAGAAAACCTTTGACAGTCAGTACTGCCAACTCTCAAATAATCAACTGTCATTAAAAAGCTGTGCCGATTGTAATATAACAACGGCTTCATTTTATATTTCTGCGGCAGCAAAGAACGTAATCCGTTACGTTTTATTTTTATGATCTGCGAGCCAGATATTTGACAGATGTTCAGCTCTTACAGTAAAACTCCACAACCAGCTTTTCAGGCGTTCCGCGCTTTTCAGGCTTTCAGCAATAGCTGAATTGTGTAGCTGAAAGCCTGCAAAGCGCCTGAAACGTTGATGTGGAGTTGTACTCTTAAGTCCCGTCCACATACAACTTTGGCGTTGCGTTGGCACATGCGTCGTCACCATGGTCGTCACCCAAGAGAGATTTGTTTATAAATTTACCTTCTCTGGATTCAGATATATAGGCACTTGCTAATTTTATTAGCTATATAACATAAATACACATAAAATAATTTTTTAGAACTGATGTGTTGATTACGGGCACGAAAAGTGGTTTTTAGCGTTCCTCACGCTCTGAGCACTTTTGGCACGGGTTGACACATTTTTGACACTTGTTGGAGAGTAACTTATTTTTACGCTCTAATTGCCGAAACAGCCCGGAATGCGTGTGGCTTCTGGGCTGTTGTGAGCACCCGCGGGTAACCGTGAGCTCGTGTGGAACAAACCTAATTAATCGCCGCCAGCTGTCGCCACGAGCTCAATGTTGTGACAGAGGTTTTTCAAATTAAATTCTAAGCGGTGCTTTTGCAATTGAGTTTTTCTTATTAGTTGTATTATTTATAGAAAAATTTAATATAAATTCTTTGGAAATGTATCTAATTTCAACGGGGAAGACAACTGTACTCTCTGACTTCAGTAATTTAGAAACAAAATCAATTTACCAGCACGCAAATGGCGAAACCACCGATTTTCAATTCTATGCACGGCAACGCATCTTCCTGGAAGTGAACAAAAAGTCTGGCTTGGAAATAATGCGGATCAAAGATAAAGGAGATCACAGTAAGTGATTCAATAATTCACGTAGTATTTGTTATACAAAGTTTTAATATTTATAACAAAGATTTAGAAATTCAGCGTGTGCGCAAATTGAATATTGGAAATGTTTACTGTGTCGCCTGCGCAAAGCAGTCGCTCGAGGAAATGGCATTCGGTGGTGTAAATGGCCAAGTTAGTCTATACAATTATAAAAACACTGAACTCTTGCATCGTTTTAAACCGGGTAAGTGCTACAATATGTATTATATATAAGATTCCAGCTTCTAATACGCCCATCTCTGACCTTTTTTGGCAGAAAATAATCGTAATAGTGTGCTGTATTTGGACTACAATGGAACAGATGAGTATATAGCTTCGGTATTCGAAAGTGGTCAAATCAACGTTTATGGCACTAAAACGAAAACAAAAGTAGATAGCGTAAATATTGATGGAAAGTAAGAAAAGAAACTTCTTTAATTGTGTTGCTTGTTGTAACTTTATTAACTCTATTTTGGTTTTAGCTCCACTCTGGCACGTTTTCATCCAAGCAAGCGTTTCCAGCTATCAGTAGCATCTTTCAAGGGTGCCGTTACCGTCTACGATCTGCAAACCAAACGGAAGATATTCAATCTGAGCGATGCTCATGCCTCACCTTGTCGCGATCTATGCATGTCTCCTGCAACGCCTGATACACTAATAAGCGTGGGGTATGATTGTATTGTTAATGTCTTCGACACACGTCGTAGAACGCCGCAAATCAAACTAAATCATCCGCATCCATTGTCTACCGTTGCAATGAGTAGTTGTGGTACATACATTTGCGTGGGAAATTTGAAAGGCGAGTTGATTTCTTATGATATACGTAGTGTGAAAAAATGTTTAGCCACCAAAAAAGTGCACGATTGCTCTATTACACGTTTATCATTTGTGCCACTACCTGAGGAAGATAATAATACAACACCAAGTTTTACCAGCACCACCGCCAATAGTACAGATAATACATCCGAAATTCTTGAAGATCAGCAGAAGTCAATGGCGAACATGCGCCAACGCGATTCTTTTTGTGATTTTCTAGATTTTCAAGCAAACAAATTGGACCGGAAATCTGCACGTTTTACAATGGGGCGTGACAGCTTCGATTGGGATACACTTGGACGTAAGCCAAACTCGGAAGATAATCGCACAAATGTATCGAAACTAAACGGCAGCAATGAAAGTGTCAACAACTCGAGTAGTAACACCACTGATGGGAAATTGAATTTAAGTTTTGATTATGTAAACACACGGCGTGCTAAGGTAGTCGAAGAAGGAAAACGGCAATTTTCTAGTAAGGTTTTTTCAGAAATAAAAATATTTTTAGTACTAGCAAATCCTTATTTTACTTTATTGTAATTGCAGCGCTGCCGACGGCACCACTCCGTGATCGTAATAGCATATCGAAAGTTGTAACCAATTTAAAACAAATCGATGAGGAAGAATCAGCAAATTCCGCACACTCAACGCAACAAATAGAGTTGGATTGTGATAGTGATAAAGAAAATCCCAGTAATATAGATGTAGAATTCGATTCAGCTGCGCAACCGCATACACCAGTAAATGCATGCAATAGCACACCCAATCGCACGCCGGCAAGCACACAAAATTTTACAGAAAGCAAGAAATTGTCGGAAAATTTTAATTCGCAAGTTGCAAATACACCTGTGCCGCCACAAGCAGGGATTCTACAGGAAATCGCCGATTTGCGTATGGAAATGAACTCACGTTTTAAGCAATTAGAATCGGAATTAAAATTTAACGCCGAGCAAAACAAATGGCAAATTTTTACGCAAACAGCTGATATATGGGCGCGCCAAATGAATACCACCGAAGATATACGTGATGCGCTGAGCTATCTTTTGCAAACCGATCCTTTTGTAAATGAGTTTTTACGCCTGAAAGACGAGAATGAGTTATTAAAGGCACAACTACAGCAATTAATGGCACAAAAATAGGTAAAACCTACTCATGTATGTATTTTATTAGATATCTATTGTAGCACTGTTTTGTTTTCCCATTGATATATTAAAAAAGTTTTAGTAATTAATCTTTATTATTTGTAGTTGATTGTGAAATTGTACTGAATAGAAATGTATTAAATTAAAATTTATTTCATTTATTTAATGCATAATTGTGACAAAAGACTTTATGCTGCCAAACAAAAATTATACTTTTATGTACTGATAGGAATAAAAGGACTAAATAAGTGTGCTTTATTATGGCAGATATTATACATATTTGCCAGGGAATAAAAAAAAATATATGATAACTGTTTAAAATATGTTCGCTGATTAGTTATATTCCATTGAGCAAATGTGTACTGTATAGCCAGCTCTGCTGATTTGATTTGATTCAAAATTTAAAAGCGCATAATTAACACTTTCCCTGCCATATTAAAAATGAAACAACCATATATCTTTACATAAGCATATGGTCAAATTACCTAACTCAGACAATTAGTTAACGATCTCGCGATGGGGTAACCCCCGTCACTGTCAAACACATGAGGACTTGGAAGCAACTTACAAAAGCAAAAGAAACTATAGACTTATGTAAAGTATTGTGAATAAAGGAGAGCGGTTACAATAGAATATTATGTAGTTAACAATCTACAAAAACAACAACCAACTGGTAAAAACTATCGTTACTAAGCAGGGGCATGGAATGTGTTAACTTCAACAATAACACAAGGGAACAAACATTTTGTTGCGGCAAATGTTAAAGCTGTTTTTGATTGACTTTGCTGTGCCGATAACGAATCCATGAGTATAAAGATCCCATCGGCTCCAGATTTTGAAAAAAAAACGAGAAGCTCTAGCAACGAAACAAAAGGCGATATTAGGTGTAACTTAAAGGTGGAAGTCTCGACAACTATCCGTGAAACCTTGACTTGATGGTCACTTATAGTCATTTATTGAACACCACGACAGTCGGGTCTACGTAACCGGAACGACCCAGATTTATATCTGGCCATGGACTGTCACTCCAGTAACACTCCTCAAAATCTCTTTGGGGAGTTTGTATGCTGTTACAACAACAACAGTGCCCACCACAGGCTCATGTTAAGGCTTGAACTTTCGACTACAATCGTTTAAAATACCATCTCTGAACCTTTACCCTAAGGTCAATTATAGTTATTTATTTAACAGCAAAAACTTATTTTGGCAAAAAATTTCGTTTTGTTTTCATTAGCACAGTATTCCAGTATTTTTATATTGTTCAATAAATGATGGTGTGGCTTCGGACCCTTTTGTTGCTACCTCAGGTGTGCCTCAGGGTAGCATATTAGGTCCTCTATTCTTTAACCTGTTCATTAATGATATCTCTTCGTGTTTTTCATCCTCTAAGTTTCTGCTTTATGCGGATGACTTGAAACTCTACTCTGAGATTGGCTGCACCAATGACGCTACAGCTCTTCAATTGGAGCTTAATAAGCTTAATAATTGGTGCGTTAGGAATCGACTGTATCTAAACATTAATAAATGTCACAAAGCGACGTTCACTAAACTGCACAATCCCTTGAACACATCGTATAGCATTGCAAACTCTACGCTTGTGTCGATTAATGAAGTCAAGGATCTGGGGGTGTACTTTGACACTAAGTTTACGTTTGCTATGCATATTAATTATACGATAAAAAACTCGCTTGCTATGCTTGCGTTTGTACGAAGGAACTCTTCTAATTTCTCAGATCCATACACACTTAAGATGCTGTTTTCGGCTTTTGTGCGGTCTAAATTAGAATACGCGGCATTTATTTGGAGACCATATCATGCTATTCATATAAACAGGTTGGAGAGAGTTCAAAAAATTTTCCTCCGTTTCGCTCTTCATTCACTAAATTTCACACTCCCGATTCCGTCATATGAGTCTCGGTGCCGTCTAATCAGCCTACTGTCCTTAAATGATAGAAGAACACTCTTGGCGATATCTTTTATTTCTGACATTGCTACAGGCAGGATTGACTGCCCGTCCCTGCTTGAGAGGTTGCACTTCAATGTCCCGAGTAGAAACCTCCGGCGGTTTGAGGTATTTCGTGTTGGCCTCAGCAAAACGGCATATAGTGCCAATGCTCCGATTAATAGAACTCTAGCTGAGTTTAACGTCTTCGCAAATTCTTTAGACCTAGACTTATCAGTTTCTAAATCTGCTCTTAAAGCCCAGTTAAGTGATTATTTTATCAGTCATTAGTGTAGTTTATGATCTCAACTTATATGTAAGCGTTTGTTAATTTATTTTGAGTGTGGCGAACTGCCAAAAAAATGTCAGTTTCATGTGAATAATTGTTTTGAATAATGTAATTAAACTAGTCCAACATGTGTAGTCTGTAAGAATATTCTGTTCATTGACTTCAGTAAATAAATAAATAAATAAATGACTATTAGTGACCATCAGGTCAATGTGCGGGGATGATATTTTTAGGGATGGTATCACCTTTTGTTTTTTTGTAGACCTAAGATATTGCAAAAAACCCAATTTTTTTACTCTTTGACTTCGTTTTTCGCAAAATCTGGAGCTGATGGAAATTTTATACTTACAGATTCGTAATCAGCTCAAGAAAGTCTAACAGCTATATTAATTAATATTTTATTCATTCGACGCCGCGATCGTAGCTAGATTTCATGTCAACCTGCAAAGTAAAAAAAAAGTGAACCATTCAAACACTTGCTCCCTAATTTTTTTGCCTCATATTTACTACCCACCGATATGGTTGTATTGAAATTTCTATAGTCCACAATATAGTGCTCATTTCGCGTATCATAACTGATAATGTTGACGAAGCGCTGTCCCCAGAAGATGTCTTCACATGGCACATAAGAAGTGCGCGCCTCTGTTACCATTGCGGTGGCTGCTGAAGTGCCAACTATTGACACATATAATTCAAATTGTGCCTCATTCAAATCTTTTGCTGACCTCAAGTAGTGCAATGGACTTGTCTCATCAATGACATGGCATACAATTTCAGGCCAAACAATAATTTGCTCACCGCCACCATCCAATTTTAGCTCAGTACGCGTTTGCACGAACTCGCCTTCACGCGTGCTAAGTGGATAAAAATTATTTGAAAATACGAAATACGTGCATATTTAAAAATTTCATTTGCTTACGTTTTGTCCGTTATGAGATATACACGTATTTTCGATTCGATCGTTTGTTGTTTGCGTGGGTCACAGACGCGAAATAACAGGCAAAGCTTATCATCGCGGAAGCAAATCTAAAAATAGTAAATACTAATATTTTATTCTCGACGTTTTTTGTTTTGAAAATTCATATAAATGAAGTTATTCTTTTTATACTAATGAACGCCCAAATTCTGCTAAGCAAACAAAAGGAAATCAAAAAAAGTGTGGCCAAATTAAGTGCGGACATACTTTTCAGTACATACATTTTCACCGCCATATTGGCAGTTTTACAAATTGGCAAATTGGAAAGCAAGTGTTTTTTTATTTATCTAGTGATTTAAATTATTTAAGAAAGTAAACTTATTTACTGTACCTTAATTGATCATTCAGAGCGTAGCCTACTTACCACCGCTTTGTCGCTAAACTTCAATTTCGTAATTTGCTTGGCTGGCCGAGCTGCTTTCGCATATACCATACTGACCAACATGCCTTCAATTCCAATTGCAATAATCATTTGCATCACAAATAGGAATATAGCCTCTGGACACTCATCGCTTGCGTATTTCTCGCCAAAACCGATTGTTGTTTGGGTTTCCACCGAATAGATGATCATCGAGACGAAATTATATACGCCTTTAATGCAGGGCTCCTTCCCCTCACCCAAACGCTCGCCAGTCACTTCGTCAAACATTAGATCGCCATGCGAATATGCAACCATATAGTTTAGCAAAGCAAAGAATAACCATGTGGCGAAGTAGGTACCAATAAAAATCGTCAGCATATATTTCCAATCTAATTCAATCTATGTGAGTTGTGGATATGGAAGCATAAAAAGTGATGCATAAAAAAATCAGTACTGCTCTTCGCAGATTTATGGCGGGTGTGCTACCATAATTTGTTAAAATAATTTTAATTATTACTAGCATATTTACAAAATTAGTTTAAGTTTTTAATGCAACGCCGATGCATGCTGCCAATCAGTAAAAGTGCACTTACCGCGTGTGCTATTGTATGGACAGTGGCAACGTTTTCAAACCTACGCACGCACGCACGTAAATGCAGTGAGTGGTCAAATCTTTTAAATTTAGTACTCTATACCAATTCGCTGTGCCATTAAGGAGATTTTTTTAATAAATGTAAATTAGAAAAAAACAATGTATGCATGTATTAGAAGTTAATGGTGATTTATTTTAGAAGGTACAACTAATTCGATGTGCTTGTACGTGTACATTATTCAACATTCGATTTATTTAAATATTGAGCATTTACATATGTATTTATTATAGAAATAAACATATGTATGTACATACATGTTTTTGGGCTAAAACAAGTGTTTAGTATTTATATGTATACTCTTTAAATTAAAGCATTTAACTTCGACAAAACATATATATATATATGTATGTATGTGTGTACATATTTACATGAACTTAATTTTAAGGGATGAATATTTATGTATACACAGATCTTTTAGCCAGACATAATTTAATACATATATGCACTTAGTTATTGCTTTATGTACAAATATATATACTAAAACTTAAAAATTCGCTTTTTATGGCTTTATACTGGGCATACTATTATATTTTGTGTTTTTTTTGTGATTTGTGTCCGAATAGCTACTTGTTAATGCGTCATTGTCCACATATGATCCTATATCACATTGTTCAAGACTTACATTAGTTGATGCGGGTGTTATTGTGTTGTTCATATTTGACGATGTTGATGTAAGACATTTTTTGTGGAATAAACTTGTTAACGCGCTTACCATTGTGGTTACCAAATCTCGAACATAGCGCCACGACTTTTGGGGTATGCGTCGGATGTTGACATTTTCATTGCCACTCTTTTCGATGACACGATGATGACGACGTCGTGCACTCATATGATCAACATCTACATAAATATGATTCGATTTAGTTAAACGTACGTATGTACATAGATACGTGAAAAAAAAAATAGAGAATACTTACCACTATAGCGTGAATCTAGATTCAATTCCATTGTACTGCCAACCCAATCACTGGTACAGGGTACGCTAGTGTAAAATTGTAGAGATGAAATATAAGGTTTAATTTAAATTAATTAGTTTTGAAAATTATTAAAAAACAAGTCAAGAATTAAACAAAACTTGCCGAACAATCGGCCTTTGAAAGCACCCGATATCGCATAGTGGGCCAGGAGCTCGTCATAAGTGAGGAAAATATAAAGCCAAAGAGCCCAATTACATATTTAGGAAATTCAACTTAAAACATGAATGGTCTTAAAAGTTGCATAAATTCTTTATTGTACAATCTATAAGGAACAAAATTGTCCCGAAGTCATTTCAACGACAAAAATTTTAAGTTTTATTTAAAATCACTTTAATTTGAAAAATTTGCATTCACGCATTTTCTTCCATACAAAGTATGTTCGCATTTTCTAATTTTTTTTAATCTGATAAGGAAGTTGAAAATTTGTGTACAAATTCCTTGAATTTTACACAAAGTTTTGAATTTTTTTTTTTATGTTGTAGTATAAACAATATTTTTATAAAAAAATTTGCGAAAAAATAAATAATTTTGCACATTTTGTGAAAAATTCGTTGTGTCAATACCTTTTTCGGGCAGTATATTTGCAAATATAAGACATAATAACAAAAGAGAAGAGCTTCTTTCTTGTTGTGACACATAGCCACTGCTACTGCTTCTTGCGTTTTTAAATATATAAATATTTTTTCTTTTTCTGAAAGTGCCATCCTGCCACGAAAATTATACTTTTTTAACCAAAATCTTCAAGCTTTTATGTACATGCACACGAACTTATTTATTAAACGTAAATGTTTAACTATGCATATAATTTATCTCTAACTTGACGGCATCATACAAATATTTACATACGTTGCACTTGATTATCTGTAAAAGTATGCATTAGTACTTTTTATCTAAATAAAACGCTAAGATTTATGATACATATTAAATGAATCATTGCTGTGGTAAAAATTTTAAAATGATTTGTCTGTTATCTTTCTTGTTGCTGTAAAATTTAAGATACGTATACAGTCTCCCAACAGATTTCTCAACGTCTGTTTCTTAACCCGTAATATCTTCCGTACTAAATTTTAACTATTTCTGACAAAATCCTGTAAATGTGGCGAGTAAAGTAAAAAAAAACTAACTTTAATAGGCACTCACTTATTCGCACTTCTACTTATGCTGCTAGCCAATTCACATTTTTTTCGCCGTTCCACAATTGGACTTTCTGGATAATAGTCTCGGGAATCGTTAATTTTCTCCTTTTCCTCCGAGCGTTTAAGTGATTTCGGTTCAATTGGTCGTGGTTTAACTGGCATCGATATAGATCGACGCATTTGTGTATTATCTGCTTGATCCATTGTATATATGTATGTATGTATGTATGTATGTATATTTTCTCAAGCTTTATATAACAAGTTGATTACTTGACCATCCACCCACTCGAGCTGTGATAATACTTCAAATTAAATTGAAAGCAATTAGTAACGAGTGTTTAAATTAAATCAGATCAGCTACTATGATACACATCGAGCACTAGAATGGAATGGATGCCAACTGCTCCACGATGTTGACCATTGAAATGGCAAAAGCAAACTAATGTGTCAAAAGATTACTATTAAATTCATCTTTATGAGCTGCTCTTTATACAAATGATAACCATAATCACAGCACGAGTATACATATTGGAAGACTCTGTTGTAGTATGTTTTATCTTGGGGGAAACAAAGATTCGGGGGGAAGAAACTTAGGGACTTGCTGTTGACACAGCGTCTGAAATGGTAGATATGTGACATGACAAAATTACTGTTTATTACTGCTTTGATACAAGCATTAGTTCAGTGAGATTATACAGTAGCAGAAGTAAGATACTTAGAATAAGATGTAAATATATAAAAAATTTCGATTGCACTAACGCTTTCATCATAAAAACTTTCTTATGAAATTTGAGAATAGAAACTATTAGCTGAGTTTTTCTGCACTGAGAGTATAAATTGCACTAGCGTCAAATATATTATTTTTGGGCTGTGGAGGAACAGAAACCACTTCCCAAAAAGGAGACGGTTATCAATTCGTGGGAATATTTTTTTTTTTTTTTTTTTTTATGTACATATAAATGGTACCGCATAACTTTGGACCACGCTAAACGATTTCTATAATTATTTTTTTTTTAAGGAAAGGTGTTACCTCACAGCTGGTCCCATACTAATTTAGTTTAGATCCGATCCTTGGATCTTGAAGAAATTAACGATAATCTTAAATTTATATATGGGAATTGAGGTCGGATTTGTTTTCTGCTCAAAAATTACTTGTAAAATAACATTTTGTGACATTTTGAAATTTTCGATATATATTTACAAACTGCTTTAGCAGTAAAAGTCTTATTTTTTTATGAATTAGGGTTTTAGTCTTAATTTGTATTTTTGTCTTTATTGTTTTTTATTATTATTATTGACTTATCTTAATTTTTATTATTAATTTTACCTTTATCTATGTCTTAATCTTTGCGTTTAGCTTAATATTTTTAATTCTATTATTATTTTTGTCTCTGTCTTGATCTTTATTTCTACAACTATCCTTATCTTCACCCTTTTCTTTTTAGGTTTAGCTTTATTTTTATTTTTATACCCATTTTTATCTTAATATTTATGTTTATCTACGCCTTTTCTGTGTTTTTAATCTTATCTTTATCTTTATTTTTATCTTTATCTTTATCTTTATCTTTATCTTTATCTTTATCTTTAT